GATGTGTAGCTATAAATCATGTGTGTTTCTTGCTAAATCATTATTCAGAAAGCAAAGGACTCATTTGGATAACAGACTAGCTAAGTTTCGTATTTTTTTTCGTCTGCCGTATTCGAGTAATACTTGAATAAAAAGATAATCAATTTATCTAAACAGAGTTCAGTGTCCAATGAAGTAAACCGCTGCAGACTGATTCAGATCATGATTTACTCGTTACCATAGCAACAGGTGATCCACAATGGAAAACTCAGAGAATCCTACCTTTGAGGTGAATAGAATTCTGGAGTAAGGCAAGCTGGCTGGCTCCCCTAGCTTCCCCCATTATCGCCAACGATTATACTCCTAATTGTAGTTCATCGGGATCATGCAGAAGACTATGGAGAAACCAGGAATACGCTGCACTGACCAATATATATATATACCAAGACTCCAGAAGATCTGGATTTCACGTGTAGATGATTTATGCAGTTAAATGTCACACAAAAACAGTCTCGAAAACTTGCAGGCAGGCAGGCAGGCTGGCGAAAACTGGCTGAAGACGCTGCTATCGAAGACAAGACTAACTCTATCCAGGTGATGAACATAGAGAAGGTGCAGACGGAAATATTGGTGAAGATAACAAGATTACCAACCAACCACTACCAACAGAAACAGAAGCAACAACAACAACAAGAAACACCACCAATCACCATCAACGGGAGAAAGAGGTTGAAAGAGGTCACTTCCTGCCTCCCTTCGCATAACTATTCTAGTTTAGACTACAGCATCGTTTAAACTGCAGGCAGTCGGAACGGATGAAGATGTGAGAATCACCAGTCAGCCAGCCAGCCAGAATCGGAAAGACAAGATACGCATACCTTTATCAACAAGAAGATTCGGATCTTCAACACACAAGTGTCATTAAAGTTAGTCAGTCACTTGCACTGAATGTAACTCACGAAAGGCATTTCCAACAGCTTAGAGTCTGGCTTTTATCAACAGCTGACAACTTCGCTGGCTGGCTGGCTCCACACTGAAGATCAAAATAGCCAGCCGGACAGAAGGAATCAGTAGCAAGAAAATCTGGCCGGCAACTAACAAACAAACGAATGGCCGATCGCTCAACAAATATGTAGGAGAAGGCGGAGATGGATGGAGATGATAGGGCGACACCCAGAGGAAGGAGGCCATCGAATGACATGTTGCGAAATCCAGGCCATTCATCGCTTGAGTGGTAGGTGAATGGGAGACGACGAGTGAGTGGTCTGTGCTTCTGTGCTATGAGCAATAATAATAATAATTAGTATTTAACTGGTGGATGGTGACTAGTAGTGGAACCCAGGATAAAACGCATTTCGTCCTATTCAGGACTCGCCATCTGGATGTACCTGCATTTCTAAGTGAGTGATGATGTTCCCACCGATACCGATATGTCAACCTGAGACCGAGCACTTCAGTTCAATCAATCGATGGGAAAATCTCAAGTTCAATTAAAATGATAATAATTGTTTCAATCAACGATGATCAGGGACGTAAGACTTTATACACGACGCTGTACACTACTGACTAATGGATCAATTGATTCATACAAGTAGATGCGTACCCGGTGGATTCAATTAAACGAAATAATATAATTTACAAAATACCCTGCAATGACTGTGAGTTAGGTCAACTATATAGGTCAGACTAGTAGATCGCGGGTAGTCAGATTGTCGGAACATAAGAATTTAGCTAAGGTAAGAATGGTTGATCCTGAGAAGATGAGTAATTTAGAAAAAAGCTCAGCACTACATTGCACTACATGCATTAACACACAAGCACACAATAGCGTGGTGAAAGAGGGTTAAGATTCTAAGAAGTAATCTGTGTAGGTGGAGAGAGAGAGAGAGATTGATTACTTAATCCTGACTGGTTTATCGAGTCTTCACCCAACACAATGCATGCAACAGAAATGACTCAATGCAAATACCAGAAATATATGAGACATTATTACCGCCAGTCAGTCAAATCATAGCAGGATAATAAATAATCTCAAAATTCTATTTCACTTCACGTACATCATCATAACAGTCTAACAAGTTACTCATTATGACTACAAAAACACTCATCTTATCTCCCATCTGATTGTTGTATTTGTTCAATAACATTCATATTATTATTATTATTTCTGAATATACATTATCCTATATTACTGATGTGTATTCAAATATCTAATCATCAATTCCACTCATGTATATAAATGAAGGAAACAAGAAAGTTGTGCGAGTGAGTGAGTAACTTGATATGATTATGAGTGGGAATAATAAATTGTACTCGAAGTGTGTGGTCGCATCAGTTAATATTACTGTATAACACCACACTGTGTGATTTATCAAAATAAAATCTTATCCATAATGAAATAGTTATACTCTACCACCACAGTACCAAAGTTTTATACTTATATAAATAGGTGCGTACCAATAGTCAAAAATACTACAAGTTGATGTGTTCGGTAGCCAACTACCAACTATCAGTCATAATCAGTAGTTATATCATGATCCGACCATATGACGTGCAATCATATCCATCGGAGGATTAATCTTTCTATAGTTAACTGGGAAAAGACGAAGTAGGGAAGAAATTCACAAAATGTCATTTCATATATATAAGCCTGTGTATGTTTAATTTAAATTTATCTGTATTTCATCGAAAAATGAAGGAACAAAGGGAAAATAATAATTTTAACCAACATTTCACCATAAACCCCCATCCACCTGCTTCCCTCTCAAGATTTAACCTAAATTTCATCCTTCACACAATTCGCTCATCAATTTTCATCGTTTTACTTTCTTTTTTGTTTTAATAGAAGACAAGCACGAAATTTTGAAATTTATTTTCCTTTGAGAAAAGTATATGGTGTCAGGGTGGGAGGGTTGTTGTGGTGGCGATGTGATAAATAGGAAAATGGAAACTATTTGAAAAACTGACTCTGGAAATTAGGATTAAAAATACAACAGACCCAGGAGCATAATGTTGAATTTTCACTTATACATTTTAACTACTTAATTTAATTAAGTAGCACAAAATCTAAAGAAAATTTACTCGCATCTCACAGACGGCATTTGTCTTAGATCACATAAATTCAATTATTTACATGTCAAGATCAACATGTTGGCAGTCATGAGACTCTGAACATGCTCTTTATGCACAATTCTCTCCTTGCATCTATCTCATTTGATGATAGGGGAACTAGAAGCAACCATAGGAGACTGTATGCACGGACGAATAAGTACAAACACTCTACAATACCTTATTCAGGAGGCATACATTTTACGTTATGAAAAAAGTATAAGACAGGAAGTTGGCAACTTACTGAGAAATACTAATTAAACTGCCTCACTTTGTCTTCTCATTGTTACATTGTCATTTATATTTTCACTTGATTTAACTTTATATTCATTTCTTTTTGAACAATATTATGGATGCATTTGCACTATTTGAACTATTACCCCTGAAATGAGAAAATTAGTTGCAACATTGTATTGTGTTACGTGTTGAAAAGTCCGTCTTTGATTTTTTTTTTGATTTTTGATTTACAGCTTGATTCCACACTGTATTTTTGGTACAAGTATGGAATTTTCAGCATGGATATCGGTAGCCCAAATCTTGCAGGCCGACCATAGATATCAGATGTGCGCCGGTGTGGGCTCGAACCCCGGACCGTGCGCATGGTCGGCGAGAGTCCTAACCACTGTGCCACCGATGCACGTACGAAAAATACTGTTTGGAGTAAAGCTATTATTATTATTCTTGATTCATTTCAAACTACCCTTTTGTAATACCATTATCTTAACTTGTTTAAATATTATTATTGGTGGATAGTGACTAGCAGTGGAATCCAGGATAAATCGCATTTCGCCCCATTTGGGACTCGTCATCTGGATGTACCCGCATTCCCCAGTGAGGGATGATGTTCCCACCATGGAGGCTTGAAGTCAGTGCCCATAGTTTCAAACTGAGCTTTTTGGTCAAATCAATCGACGGGAAAATCTAAAATTCAAATGAATATTATTAATGTTGATACAACCGTTACTATTATTGTCACTTATTCACTTTGAGAGTTTTGATATATATATTGAAGTTCCCTTTTTGATAAATATTTGTTTTTTAAGTATTCGTTTTGTAGGGAATTTTGTTTGATTGCATGGAGGATTTCATCATGAGCTGACATCACTTAGAGAACCACTGGAAAACCAGCTGGGAGTACTGGACAGCTGTTTCGTCCTAGTTTTGGACTTTTCAGCAGTACGTACCCACCACCGCGGTTCGAACACAGGACCTTCTGGTTACAAGACTAGTGAGCTGGTAGACCACTGAGCCACTGGAACCCAACGCAATGGCCAGCAAGTTCAGGAATTCTAACTTCTGCCAATTTATGGCATAGCGCGACCATTTCTCAATGTCTTCTTCGATGAGTTACTGCCTCACCTTCAACCCGCTGTACCGTACTGGTCACGGCTTCCCACTAGAACCCCAGGTTAACTGCCTGAATAGGGCCAGTTACTAGTGAGCATCAGATTAATTTTCAAGTATTGGTTTCGCATGAATTTCTGTTTGATTGCATGGAGAATGGGTGGAGTGCGTACTACTGAAGAGTTCCAAGATAGGAGAAAACAGCTGTCCAGTACTCCCAGCTGGTTTTCCAGTGGTTCTGTAACTAATGTCAACTAATGATGAAATCCTCTATGAATTGCTTGTTTATTTAAATGATGTGACTCCTTTCCTCCCCTATCTGGGAAACATTCACATCTGTCGTTTTGCATGAATACTTCAATAGAGTTAATTTGCTTATCACTCTTATATTTCCACATATCCTTGTAAGAGGAGTAGTGGCTGGCTGGCTGGCTCCATGTTGAAGATGAAATAGCCAGCCCGCCGGCTAACACCACGTTTAGTTGCTTGCTTTAATAAAGACCACTGATGCATATATATATATATATATATATATATATAATATTATTAATTTGATAACTTTCTTCTAGAAATTAGCTCAATTTCGATTACCACATGCTAAATACACATCAGCACAATTAAGTTGTAATAAAAATAAAAATCGTTTATTAAATATCCTACCGTATGAATCAACTCGAGTCCCCTTACAACCGATACGGGGTGTTGAAGGATCAGATTATATCAACGCTAATTTTATTGATAGTTATCGTGATCGTAAGGCGTATATTGCAACTCAAGGACCAATGGCAAAAACAGTTGAAGATTTTTGGAGAATGATATGGGAGTTGAATTCAAATATTGTTGTAATGTTAACAAATCTGAATGAACGTGGTCGGGTAAGTGATTTTGCTGTTTGTCTGTTATTGTTGCTGTTTTTTTTTTTTAAATTTTTTTGTATTTTGTGGTTTTTGCATTCAAATGTAGAAAGTGTTTTTCGACGATAATCGATTAGCACATTTAAACAAATAATGAGTATTCTCATAGTAGAATTTAGAACAACAGACATTTAAGCGAAGAATATTGTGCTCTTGATTAGATCTGATCATCAGGCTTAACTTTAGTGTATCTATATAACTTTACAAATAAATATTCGAATATATAAACCAGTCACGGGGTTTTATCAATAGAATAATAATAAGAAGAAGAAATAATGGTGTCGTTTCATGATGTCACAGCATTATAGACTTCAATTAGTCAAAAATTAGCAACAGAAACTATGCAACCAATACTCTATAATGATGAAAACATAAAAACGCAATGTTCAACTTGGATGAAACTCATAAAATTATGCCTTACAACATGCACTTCCAATTCAATACTCAAATATCCGAACACATAAAGGGAACATCAATGTGGTCGTCGCCCATATCAAGATTAATAGCTGAAGCTGTCGTGCAAAGATTAGAATTAATAGCTCTGCCTATAATTAAATGGAAAATCTGGACAGTTACGTTACGTTGCTGATACATTTGTAATAATTAAGAGAAATGATTTAGAATATACCCATAAATTAATAAACAACATATTTGAAGACATCAAATTCACAAGAGAAGAAGAATTAGATAACAAAATCCTATTTTTAGATGTCTTAATCAGGAGAATCAACACAGGAAATTTAGAAACACAAGTATGTAGGAAATCAACGCACACACACTCAGATCAAATACTCAACTATACCAGCAATAATCCAATTACTCACTCACAAAAGAAACTGTGTGCAGACATTGTTCACAAGAGAGTTCTAACACATTGGAGCACTGCACTCCAGAGTTGAAAAGAATGGAAGAAAAAATACCTACAAACGGTCTTCAAGAGGAATGGTTATCCACAAAATTTCATCAAAAAGTGTTTAAAGTCGAATCACAACACCAACAAGGAACCATCATCAAAAATCAGAAGGAAATTCATCCTACCATACAAGAAAATTATCTCTGAAATAACAGCTAGAATACTGAAACCGTTTGATATAGATAGGTACAGCGCACAAACCAGTCTATTCACTTTATTCGATATCGTGCAAACCGAAAGACTCATCCAAGACAAAAAGGAGACAAAATTAATACCATTTATACAATAAATTGTATGAACTGTAACAGGCATTACATCGGCCAAAGTGGGCGTCCCCAGGGTGTCGAATCAGAATCTGAGAACACAAATCAACCGTGAAAAGACACGATATATATACATATATATATTCTTTAGTATCAATGCACATAGACAATTATGGACACCAATTTGATTGGGATAATGTCGAAATCTTAGATAGAAGAAACACCAAAAGTGTAGTCAGGGAACTCCTAGAAGCCTGGTACTCAAACGAATCAGCCAGCGATTAACAAACACATTAATATAGACGACATATACCAACTAATAAAAAGTAAACCATGTGACGAGAAAGTTTAAAATCCAAGTCAGTAGAAAGTGGTCATCAATACATATGCAAAGATGGTTACCGGGAGACGCAATTGCATCAGTCATGAAGAAATTTCAATCATTTCACTTTATGCTAAGTATTTCGCTGATGGGGGATGTTGTCCAGGAGAGGTGGGGGTGGGAGGGGGACGATGAAAGCTCCTCAACTAAACTAACCAGCTCAGAGATAACTAGTAATTGCAAATCATCCACCTGAGCTACAGATCTTCTCTATTATTTCAGCAGGATAATTAAATTGGGCATTTCAGTTGTGCACTTGGTCATAATAATAATGAATCTTTCTATAACAATAATGACGAAAAACAGCATGATTAAACAAACGAATGCTCAGGTAGACATATTAATCCATTAAGGCTATGAGAAATAAATGAAACGTTCAATTAATGCTACATTGGAAGGGAAGTAAATGAAACACGTTTTCAATGAAGATGCAATAAGATTAAGGGATGATAAGAAAGGCGTTGAAAATAAAAACAAGGGGTGGTGTAGAAGTCACTAGTTGGTTATGTCTTAATAGGCCAACACGGGAGGGATAAGGGCTGTAAGAACTTCTTTTGAATGAAGGCATAGTTTAGGTTTAATAGTTCGAATGCCTATCGCCTCAGCTGTGTGTGTGCAGTAGACGAATACGAAGCCTATTGGAAAGATTCGGTGGGATAGGATGAACAGTCACCTTGAGCGCCTTCTTTTTCTCCACTACATGACCACTGTCAACCACATGTGACAAAATGGAGCTATGGATTGTTGTTTTGTTTTTCTATCCTTTGCCAAACGACTATGGGAGATGTCCACTAACACATTGGCTAAGCTGTCTAGTAGTGGTATGCCCAACATAACTGTCATCGTAGGTGCAGTTGAGTTGACAGATGTACACAGATTTGGCAAAACTATCTAGCCAGAGGTGAATAGCCGGCCAGCATTCTACCACTGGACCGCCAACGCAAGCATTACATTGGTATACTAAGATTATTCATTCTGGTAGTGATAATTACAGAACAAGTCTAAATTCTTCTGTAACAAATAGTCATGTGATGGCATTAATTAAAATGAAATAAAGCCTTTGTTTTTTGCATACATATTTACTTATACAGGAATGTTGTTATCCATACTGGCCGACTGAACGATCTTCACGCTACCAATATTACGTTGTTGATCCTATGGTTGAATACAACATGCCAAATTATACTTTAAGAGAATTCAAGCTAACAGATGCGCGAGACGGTCAAGCGCGTACACTTCGCCAATTCCAGTTCACAGAATGGCCTGAGCATGGTGTACCTGAAAGTTGTGAGGCATTTATAGATTTTCTTGGACAAGTACACAAAACTAAAGAACAGTTTGGACAAGATGGACCAATAACTGTACACTGCAGGTAAGATTAATTAATGTTGGTTAATTAATTTTTTTTTCTTTCTTGAATGCCATCCGTCGCTTTCATCGACTGACGGGTTGAGTGATGTTAGCTGACTGATATAGGATGGATGAAGCTGGAGAAGAGTTAGCTGTTGATGATGGTGTTGGTGGTTAGAAGAAAACATGGCTTCAGCGAAATCCACAACAGTTAATTTAATCTAGCCTACCAGCCAACCATGTAGGGAGGTTTAGACTTCCTGACTAGTTAGGGCCCTCTAGATAGCGAAAATCACTGAAAATTGAAGACGATCAGTGATATGACTGGCTAAAAATCGTTCTCGGTAATGGCTGGCTGGCTGGCGCAGATGCATTCACTCTTTGGGATGATTGATCACATCCAGTAAAACTCTATTGCTCTTCGGTATTACTATTCCTTTTGCCTCACTTACACTTGTGTTTATTATCCCTCTCTGTTTTGAACTCCTATTTACTGTCTCCTGTTGGTTTGTGTGGTACATGGAGGGAGTTTGGCAACAGGAAATGGTGCACACCTGTGAGAAATTCTATGTTGCAACTAGTCAGCCAGTCATATTTTAATCACAGAAGACAAGGGCCAGGCAACAGATTGTTTATTTAGGAAATCAAAAGATATTTACAGATTTTCATGTACATTATTATAGATTATTGTTAGCAAACAAACTCAGTCTTCTAATTGGGAGTTTCTCGTTGAAGGTTAATCTTTCATCTCTTTGTGACTGTTTCTTGAAGCTCAGGTCGTCTATCTGCAAGTTGTACCCGCCTACGCAAAGTCTCCTGTCATTGGTTGGTGAATCAATCTTTTTGTCCTTATTTTTCTCACGAACAATATTGGGGAGGTAAACATTGACGTAAATTACGGTTTACCAAGTCGGCTAGCATCCAGCTCTCACCAAAATATTAGTTTATGTCGTGATATATATGAATATTATAATACTAAACTGATTATCAGATAAACTGACAATAACAATAATACAGAATTTAGGAATTTACAGATTCCACAAAGAATCGCGGTCACAATAGCACCGTGACCTGTTTCTTTTGCACGCAAAGCTCAGCTTGTCTTAAGCAAATTCCAACTTCCTCTACCGTTTTGGAGTCTTCCGTATCTAGAGAACTTTGGCAATTTATTTAGATGATAGGATTCAATATAGGATTCTTCAATACTGGCTTTGGCTGAATATCAAACCGTTTGTGGTTTTAACTGCACCTGCATTTGCTAGTCATCTTGAGTTTCCTAGCCATGTCTTGCTATCCGTATGGTTAAATAAAAGTGTTGTTTAAACCATCAGTGGTTCGAGATTAGATCTTTCTTACCTCGTCTCTACACAGAATAAAGCCAGCACTTACGAGTCTTTTCCTATCATCTATCGGGTACGAGATGAATTGTCACTACCCGAAGCACCAGAACCGCGGACATGGATTTTTTGTCATTAACTCATAATATGGCTTCCATACTCCTTTGTCGCAACGGCAGCTTACACATCTCTCGCAAACATGGCCTTCAAATGACAAGCTGCTTTGGTGGATAACAGACTTGCCTGCCTAGCAGTTGTCTCTTTACCTAGAAAACGCCTTCGAAATTTTAAGATGTCTTCAGTGTTTATTTCTAGTCTTGTTATATATGTGACAAACTGGCTTCCTATAGAGATAGGTGCGGTGTCTTGCCTACTTGGTTTGATCAGTGCAGTTTCATTAATGCACTGGCGATAGGGTTTTCGACCTGACCTACAAACTACATGTTATTCACATTCACAGAATTCACATAGTAAGCTAACAAGTCCTGTTTATTTGACTGAATGAGTAAGATGCATCTACAAAATTAGCACCTGATGCTTTGGCAGTAGTGAATGACAGCTAAAACTTGCCACATAAAGTTTCACTGTGTAAGTAATGTTAGAATTAAATTCCTTGGTATGTAAGGCCAAGTTTTTCAAGCGGTTAATGGGGCTTTTTCCGGCTAGAAAGGAAAATACACCAAGAGTAACGCATTCTTCTCTGTGGAAATCAAGACACCCCACCAATAGTTAGTTTTTAATTTTCTGATGTTGATATGAACGTTAATACTAGTCGATCCTCGAGGCTATTGTTCTACCTAGTATATTAGCAGCAATATTGTCAGCCGGAGTTTCTTGCTACTAATTGTTTCTGGCCAGATGGCTGGCCACTTGGCCATTTAATCTTCAGTATGGAGAGCCAGCCAACCAGCGACGGTGGTGGGGGGGGGGGAACCTGTTGATAGAAGTGTGAAGTGACCTGTTGGAAATGTTTTTCATGATGCACGCGCAGTGCGAGTTTCTGACCAATGTAGAAGCACTTCACTGACATTTGTGTTGAAAATGCAAATCTTGTTGTTTATGCTGAGTTACTGGAGAAGATTTCCAAGCAGGTTTTCAGGTTGATGAAGGCATGCGTATCTCGCCTTCCTCATTCTGGTTAGCCGACTCCCTGGTTTCGACATCTTCATCCATTCCGAAGACTACCTGTGGTTGAAAGGACACTGCAGCCTAGGTGCTAGACAAGAGAAATGAAAGAAGGAAATAACTTCTTTTAAATCTTTCCCTTTCATAATCAACGGTGGTGCTGGTTACTGTTGTTGCTGTCGTTAGTTGCTGATTGGTTGGTTATCTTCATGACTTCCATTTTCTCTATGCTCAGAGAAATTGCAGTGAAAATCTATAATTTTTCTGAAATTTATCTGAAATTCATTTATCTGACAGTCTGATTGAGGTTTAACTTTATGAAAACAGATTTCTTCTCAGAATACATATTGAAATTAACACTGAGTCGATATTCGCTTGTACCCACATATCATGAATGCAAGTAACTTTGGATATTCAAATAATGCTCAGAAGAAGTAATTGAAGATGAATTGAGCATTTTATATGATACTTTGATCGATCGAAAATAGCTATGACGAAAAATGTATTAAGGAACACATGTCAAAGAAATCGGTGGAAAAGGACTACTCACTATCTGTAAACAATAAGCCACCTTACATACGACTGCAATTCAAGGGCGATCGATATACCAAGTGAGATAATTACGAGGAAATTAAGAAAATCAGTTGAAAGAACTTTTAATGCTGGCAAACTACACATTTTATTCTCTACACCATTGATGGTGCTACCTCGACTGAAAGATAAAGTACCTAGACCAGATTAGCTGGCCACTTCAAACCGTATCTACCAATTCAACTGCAAGTGTGCTTTTGGAGCGAGTTATATTGGCCGTTGTTGCTCTAGGAACTTGATTTTTCGTGGTCGCTCGAGAACATCTCCCAGTATGACTAAGTAAAGGTGTAGTGAAAACCATCATTAACAGTTCGATATTTGCCCATCTGGTGCAAACCGGCCGGCTGGCCACAAAGCCAGCCAACCAGCCAGCCAACGTGGAAGAATCCTTCTCTATCATCATCCACCGGGTGCCTAATAAACTGGCGAAATCATCGAAGCACCGCATGCGCCAAACACCAGAGTCTATGGTCATTCACCTCAAACAACCAGTGCTCTATGTCCAAAAAAGGCACGTCCAGTCAGCCCCTACTACTGCCATGGCTGGCCGACCTTCAGTAGAGACTATAAATTCATGAATTTGTAATATTATTTTTCCTAATTTTTCTGATATTCAGCTTATTTTATGTTGATGCAACTGAACTGTAATCCACTGGTATTATTATTATTATTGATTCGATGTTATTTAAACAGCAACATTAATGTTGTTGTTCATAACACTAATTCACTCATTCATTCACTATAATGTATAGGTATATAACTGTAGAGCCTGATAATGAAGTTACCAACAAGAGTACTCTTTGTTCAGGATGCATTCTTTTGAGAATATTTTTCAGTATTAACAAATGTTTCCACTAGTTTCATTTTTTGATAAACACCAGAGCACAAGTATTTTCATTTTTGTGTCGACTTATGCTTTGACTTATTATTACATAAACCTTGATTATGCAAAAAAAAGAAAGACTAAGTATCCATTATTACTGTGAATATATTATTTTATTTTTATTGTAGCGCTGGAGTTGGCAGAACTGGTGTATTCCTAGCCCTATCTATTGTCCTTGAAAGAATGCGACATGAAGGCGTTGTTGACATGTTCCAGACAATTAGAATGCTTAGAACACAACGACCTGGTATGGTTCAAACAGAAGATCAGTATCAGTTTTGTTATAATGCTGTTCTCGAATATCTCTCCTCATTCGATCACTATTCAATCTAACTAATCACACAGAGAGTTGAATTTTTAAATTTTCTTTTTTTGCTTCCAAATTCTGCAATCCACCTACCCACTGTGGTTGTGTATTTGGAGAACTGGGTGGTGGAGAATATACATATATATATATATATATATATATATATATATATATATATATATATATATATATATATATATACATGAAAGTGTTGAAAAATCTGCTTTGTGATGCTGAATACCACAGCATTTTAAAGTTCCAGCCTATTTCATTTTCTTTCAGTAATAATCATGTTATTGTTTACCACGCTGCGTACAGATTCGTTTTGTCTTCAAAACCTTACTACTATTATTATTATTGTTATTATTATTATCACCATCTGTTTATCTGACTATCGTTGCATTTCTGTTGTCTTACCAGTTATAAATTCTTCTATGTTGTTCTTTCTCCCACCACTGTCTCATGTGCTTCTTAACCTCCCTCCCTCCCTCCCTCCCACCCTGCTTCCCATCCCCGTTTTTGGCCACCCTGACGCCACCCTCCACTGGTACTTTGTTTGGATACTTTAACAAGCAGCAGTAAACGATGCGAGCACCACATTTACACACACACAAACAAACAAACAAGTGGGTGATTCCTTCTCACAAACTCATTTCCCGGTTCAGTGTTCACATTGCAAACATTGTACTGTACGCATTGGACGATTTTTTGTTGTTGCTTAATTACTGAGATATATGCTTAATATTGATTGTACCAAGGCACTGGTTGTCTGATTGATTACAATAGGGTTAACATTCTTCTATGAATAAATATACATACATTCAGAGTTCTTCCATTCATCCGTGAACTTTAGTCTAATTTTTTTTTTAATTTTTATTTTGTTTCCAAGTAACTTGGATCTTTCCCCGCCACCCCCCTTCCCTTTGGCACCACTCTGTTTCCAGCCACCACTGACTACAATTCAACCTACTTTTAATTTCTTTCTTTCTTTCTTTTTTTTCAGTTGACATACCCCCTAACAACCTTTTTTATTGTGTGTGTGTGTGTGTGTGTGTGATTTCCCATTTATTTGTCCATGGGATTATCAGTCTATTTATCCTGTCTCTTCTGTTGTAGCCCGGAGTGTGTGTGTGTGTGTGTGCGTGCGTGTTACTGAGTATTTCAGCAAACCTACAGCGGACGTATTGCACACATGTAGATATTTGCCTGTTAAACACATTACTACTATTATTACTATTATTATTGTTATTATTATCACATATTACCTGTTTTTAATACTGATTACAAATATGGTGGTTACTAGGTGTTCATATGGATTACGCAATAATAATTATTATCATTGTTATTATTATTATTATGGGTGCTATGAAAGTGATTCTTATTTTTTAATTAGAAAATATGTGTGTACTGAGCGCCTGTAAAGATTTCCTTTTGTCTCTCTGTCTATCTGCCTGCCTGTCTGTCTGTTGTCTGTCTATCTATCTATCTCTCTGCCTCCTCGTCTACCTTCTCACTACTGACTACTGTTATGCGTCTTGTTTTGAACAGTTTTCAATTGAGTATTGCACTAAATCCATTTAACATATACATATATATATATATGCCATACATGTTTGTGATTGAAAGAAGAGTTCGTCGAGTGATGAATGAACACTATTTACATATTCTCTCTCTTATTATAACGAATCCTTGTGTCAACTGTACAACTATTACTACCACTAGTATGTCGATTATTTCTGCTATTTATGATGTGGATAGGGGTGGGGAGGGGGGAATACTGTGTTCGTTACCAAAATTCAACGACCTCATTCTATCTGTTTATCTCTCTCTACTATTGGTCTTTATGTTTGTTTTTTTCCATTGTTCTTCTTATTACTATTGATGTTGTTGTTGTTGTTGTTGTTATTTGTTCTTGGTTGACTAACCTTCATTGTCTACTGCCTCATTTTGTACAGTTGAGTTGTGATATTACAAATGAAAGTGTGTGTATGAAGCTGAGGTGAACAGGCACACTGCCACACACACACACACACACCCATACAATCAACAACTTCCTGTGTGTTGTGTCCACCATCCATCCAACCAAAACAGGAAAAACAAATCTAATTTGATGTTACCTAAAAGGGGAGTGTTGAACAAAGTATACTTGTACATAGTAACAAATTAGCTTATTTGATTATACTTTCATTGTTTGTTGTTTGTTTTGTTTAAGATAACTATGAACACACACACACACACACAGCGTAGCCGCCCAGAAACGAAACACTGTGTGGTAAAGACTTTGACGAATGCCTATCGACCAATCAGATGCTTCTGATGTGAGAGTGCGTAATTTGAAAAAAGACATTAATATATGTGATATCTAAGTAATGCAAATTTAAAAAGTAGCTGCGTAAAATAACTTCCTTGTATATATATATATATATATATATATATATATATATTTCGGAAAAAACCTCCCAATTTCTCATAGGAGTTCTCAAACCTGGTTTTGAACCAAATTTCTGAGCACATACATATTCGTTGAGATAACTGTGAATCATTGTGTTTCTTGACTTATTATTCACCGCTCCGGATCCTCTATTTTTTAGGTGACTTTAGAAACTTTCGATGGAATTTATATGAGTCTCAATCGAAAGGATGAATGAAAATGCCGGTATTATTGATGCCATTATGAAGATTGACCCAGGGATGGCAGTTGCCTCCTTTCCAAGCAGTACTTAAATACTTGATTTGGACGAAATCTGCCATGTAATTCGTGCACAGCAAACATAATTACGTCTGCATACTGCGTACTCGTCTGACTAGTTCCTCAAGGTCATTAATCCGTTCATTAGGTAGCCTTGTTTTCGGCTTTTATAGTTTAGAGTCACCGGTCAAGTTAAACTTTAAGCATCAGTGAATACAGATGGAATGCGGTGGCAACAGTAACCTTGAAAGCACCAATCAGTTTTGGCAAAATTCAACAGTAGCGTCCCAAGGGGTGCGAACGCATGAGTGACTGTTAGCCGACCAATCATAAAAATGAGGAGTTTCTGCACAAAAATGAGGTATATTTACAAGAAAATGCATAAAACACATTAGGCGGTATCGTTCTCTGACGACTTAAAATACGTCCCTGTTGTAAGGAGGAGTATCAATCGCTAAGTTAGACTAGTTTCCATACATGTATTCACCGAGGTGACTGAAGATGAGCTGTTTTTGTGAATCTTTTATCTCCCTTATCCTGTTGTGTAATCTCGTCGACTTAGAATATGCGGGTGTCTAATGTAAGATGATGTTATAGGACTGACTGGACTACAGTGACTCCCAGATTAGAAATAGGGAGTGAAGTCGTAGAGCTTGTTGACCATTTCACACCAAGAAAGCTGAATAACTACTCAAAGACGAGGATGTATATCAACAACTCCCAACAAATCCCATACAAACATTGGACAACCGCATCCAAAGGACCTTAAACAAGCTCACCAAAACTGGACAGATAACAAAACAAGACCAATGGTGAATGAAGTTCAATGGACCAGTCCTACCTCGATTCTACGGCAGACCCAAAATACACAAGTCAAATATCCCATTACGACCAATTGTATCACTCCTAGGAACTCCAACATATAATTTATCCAAAGAATTATACGGAAAACTTAAACACCTAACGGAATCTTGTGAACACTCCATCAACTTTGCTATCCAATTCCTAGAGAAAATCAGAGGCATCCAAATAGATGAACAAGAAATAATGGTATCCTTCGACGTCACAGCACTATATACCTCAATCGGACAAAACTAGCAAAAGAAACCATGGAACAATTACTTAGCAACGACGAACAGCTTCCACAACAATCAAAAATGCAACACACAAGCTGGATGGAATGCTCAAATCTATGCTTAACAACATACTTCCAATTCAACGGCCAAATATATGAACAAATCAAAGGAACACCCATGGGATCGCCAATATCAGGTTTGATTGCAGAAGCAGTGATGCAAAGACTCGAAAACATAATCCTACCAAAGATCAAACCCAAGATTTGGATACGCTACGTTGACGACACATTCGTGATAATCAAAAGAAACGAGTTAGATAAAACTCACAACTTAATAAACAACATCTTCAACGACATCAAATTCACAAAAGAAGACGAATCTGAGAATCAAATCACATTTTTGGACGTCTTAGTCAAGCGAACAACCACAGGGGAATTAGAAACTCAAGTTTATAGGAAATCAACTCACACAGACCAAATCCTGAATTACAACAGCAACAACCCAATGACACACAAAAGGAATTGCATACAAACACTATTCAAGAGGGCAAGGACTCATTGCAGCACTCCCACCTTAAGGAAAATTGAAGAAAAGTATCTCATGGACGTCTTCCAAAAGAATGGATATCCACGTAACTTCATTAAAAGACATATACCCTTAAGTCAACCTATCAATCCAAAAGCCTCCAAGGAAAGCACAAAGAAAATCGCCTTACCATATATAAAGGATTTCTCAGAAATCACTACAAGACTCTTCAAACCTTAAGGAATTGACATCGTACACAAACCAACAAAGTCACTTCACTCAATTCTATGTCAACCAAAAGACTCAACAGCGAACGAAGATAAAACCAACATCATCTACAAAATAAATTGTAACAACTGCGAAAAACACTATATTGGTCAAAGTGGACGTCCCCTTCGTCTTCGTATCCACGAACACAAGCTAGCCGTCAAAAGACATGATATCCACTCCCTCATATCACTACACACAGACAACCACGGACATCAATTCGGCTAGGACAACGTTCAAATATTGGACGGAGGAAACAACAAGAATGCTAGAGAATTATCCGGATAGCTTGGCATTCCAGTGAATCATCAATCAATAGACACATCGAGATAGACAAAATTTATCAACCGATAAGAAACAAACCTCACACACAGAGAGTCAAAGTTCAAGTCAAAGAAACAATCAGTTCCAATACAAGTAGCCTAGAGGGTGTGAAAACACACAAAAACAAAGCATCACATCCAAGGTCACCGACCAGGAGAGATGATTAATAAACTCTTAGAGAAATCTAAAAGCTCACTTCAACTGAAATTGAAGTATGCGCTGAAGGAAGATGTCACCCAGTAGGGTGATGAAAGCTTCGCAAATCAATCATGCAGCTCA